TGTGAAGTCCAGGTCATTGTTTAGTGCCTTAAAACCCACTGTCCTGTCAACAGGACACTTTGGCAACACACAAATATCAATCTCAGCTCATTCTGTTGGATTTTACTAAAGTTACAAAAAACATATGACGTCAGGGCACGGCCGCCACAGCAGTATCAATTTGGTGGCATGACATACACACTATGTTTGTTATACATTATTATAAATTCAAAAATTATGAAAGGTTGGTACATTATTTTGTTCCTTAGCAACGTAGGAACAATAATATAACAGTATTTTGCCTCATCAATCACTAATAAAGTTGCTGGATTTTTTTGTTTTTCGATGTCCCCTGGAGAGGACAATAGGCAAATGTTGTAGTCTATCGTCCCATTACTCCATGGTGAGTTGTAATGGTTGTAATGCTTAGAACAGCTGGGTACAGTTTGTCAACAGTGATTTAGTGGTTTTTGTTAGAGGTTATAAAATGAGTTACAGAAAAGTGGAAGCTAACGATATTTTATACCTAATTGAAAGTGGCAATGTGCCTGAACTTGAATACGGTATCTAAGTGATAGTGACAATGAACAAGTAAATATTACAACAAAATATGAAGTGAATTTTGGTCATATTGGTTTTGAAATGGAAAGAGATAATTATTGTTGTTAACTAAATAAATTCATAACATTGTGTATCTGATTTTGTGTCTATTTTTTATTGGATCCCTAGTGTTTACCATGTCCACTTTGACATACGCCCAGTGCCCTCTAGAGGGGACATATATTTGAACAAAAAATTTTTAAATGAAAATTTAAATGAAAATTATTTCCATGTGTTCACTGTAATAAGCAAGTGGTAATGCACATAATAACAGCTTCTTACCGGAATGATTGAACATTTTCATTACAAACTTTAAAAAAAACTAAAAAGTTTAAAATTTTTAAAAATTTTGTTGTTTTGTTTTTAGTTTAATGTTATTATTTTAATTTATAAGTAAGTAGTTCTTGTATTTATACAGTTTTTAATACTTTAGTTCTGTAAACTACTAAAAAAATATAGCTTTTATTTTTATTTATATGAGAATTTCACTTTAATATTTGCCCAGTGTCCTCTACAGAGGACAAGCCTCTAAATTACAAAGAAAAAATAAAAAAAATGTTCAAAACATGTTTAGAGGACTTGCCTTTATTGATTTATATAAATATATTAGTTTTTTTCCAAAAAAATCAAACTTGGGCCTCAAAGGGTTAATAAGTTAAGAGCTAAATGATTTTCATGAGATTCCAATTTCGTAATATATCGTTCACTTATGGTCATGATTTCGTCCTTAACTGTAGGCATCTTAAGGTCTTGATGTAGTGTCCTATTGCTGACATACGGTACCATGGTGCATTTGTTATCTTCCTCAGCATTGTCGATTGGTATCTTTCCAGTGCCGGATTTACCACTAGGCCGATTAGGCCGCGGCCTAGGGCCGCAAGCAAGAGGGGGCCGCAGAAGATTGCACAACAATTTTTTTAGATAAACAAATAATTTTTTTAACCATTAGTTTGCCGCGATCACAGGTGACCATAATAATGTTTCCATGATTGCGGCCCACAGAAGATGTTCACGATTTTGCCGCAGCCGTGGGTGTCGATGATGATGTCCCCGTGATTGCGGCATGCGGGAGATGTTAACGATTTTGCCGCGGCCGTGGGTGTCGATGATGATGTCCCCGTGATTGCGGCATGCGGGAGATGTTAACGATTTTGCCGCGGCCGTGGGTGTCGATGATGATGTCCCCGTGATTGCGGCATGCGGGAGATGTTAACGATTTTGCCGCGGCCGTGGGTGTCGATGATGATGTCCCCGTGATTGCGGCATGCGGGAGATGTTAACGATTTTGCCGCGGCCGTGGGTGTCGATGATGATGTCCCCGTGATTGCGGCATGCGGGAGATGTTAACGATTTTGCCGCGGCCGTGGGTGTCGATGATGATGTCCCCGTGATTGCGGCATGCGGGAGATGTTAACGATTTTGCCGCGGCCGTGGGTGTCGATGATGATGTCCCCGTGATTGCGGCATGCGGGAGATGTTAACGATTTTGCCGCAGCCGTGGGTGTTGATGATGATGTCCATGTGATTGCGGCCCACGGGAGATGTTAAGGGGGTACGCCACTATCTCTGGGCCACATTTTTTATTTATTTTACATTTTCCAAAAGTTGCATTTTTAGATAGGTTATTTAGTTGTGAACATTTACCTAAAAAATGTTTCCAATCTGACAACTCCTAGTATAAAATAAATAAAATATAAAACGCCGCAACCAGTAATTTGAAAAAAATTTGGACTATTTATTTTTTTTGTTGCTGATATTTACATTTTTGATTTTGTATCATAATTATGTATTATGAAGGTTTAAATTAGGGTACATTTATTTAAAACAAAATAAGTACTTTGGTATTTTTATATATAATATAAAATAATAAACTAGTGTTGTCATGGGGATTTTAGTTCTGCCAATCACCTGTTACATCACCTGCGATTATCTCAATACCGTGTTTTTTAGGTTGTTATTGTACAAAAGTTAGAATAACTCCGTTAGTACTATAGATATAGTATTCCAATTTTCACCAGACCTTCTTTATAAAGTAATAAGGGATTGTGTGTATAAAAACCCCTATAGATACCCCTATAAAAACCCCTATACATTTACTAAAACTATTTATGTTTACGCTTAATTTTTAAATTTTTTTAGCTTTTTTTATATTTTGAATAAAGTGTCCTAAAAATCTTGTTTTGTTAGTTACCATAACGATTATACACAGAATGACTCATTATTTAATCCTGAATCAGGAAATAAATAGAATATGTCATTCAGTTCAGTAGTTAAAAAGTTATTCTCAATACCGAATCCCTAAAAATTTGGGTGAAAAAAACTAAAACCGCATATACATTTAGTAAATAAGTCATAAATTCAATTTTTTGGACCTAAATCTTCTAAATAAGTCGAGTATAAACAAAATATACTAATTAGGTTGACAAAAATTAAAAAATAAAAATAAAGTTGGAGATAGTGGCGTAGGCCTATCCCCTTAACGATTTTACTGCGGTCGCGGGTGACGGTGATAATGTCCCTTTGTTGCAGCCCGTGGGGATGTTCATGATTTTGCCACGCTCTCGTATACCTATGATTGCTTTGACTTGATTTAGGAGAGATGTCCACGATTTCATCCACGATCACGGGTGTCAATGATGATGTCCCCTTGATGCATAAGAGATATTCACGATTATTTCCGCGATTGCAAGGAATTTCCACCACAGGGGGAGGGGGAGGGCCGCTCAAGTAATTTGGCCTAGGGCCTCAAGTACCCTAAATCCGGCACTGTATCTTTCGAGAATTTCTATATTAGAAGTACTCGCTGAGCCCCATAGTTGCACTCTATATGTCCAGATTGGTTTCAATATAGTTTTATATAGCAATAATTTATTTTCTAGACTAAGTTTTGATTTTCTTCCGATGAGCCAATTTAACCGATTAGATTTTAAATTTAGTTGTTGCCGTTTTCTCCAAATGTGTGTTTTCCAAGTTAACTTCCTATCTAAATGGATACCTAAGTATTTAACCTCAGTTACTTCGGGAAGTTGGGTGTTGTTTATTGTGACAGGAGGACAAGAATTTTGATTTAGAGTAAAAGTAATGTGGACAGATTTAGTTTCATTAATTTTGAACCTCCATGTCTTAAACCAATCAGTAATTATGTTCAGATTTTGCTGTAAATTTAGAGAAGCTTGAAATGGATCACGATGAACAGACAAAACCGCAGTATCATCCGCAAATGTAGCAATTTCTACCAACTCATTTTCTGGGAGATCTGCTGTGTAGAGAATATACAAAAACGGCCCGAGGACACTTCCTTGAGGAATCCCAGATTCAATTGGACGTAGGTTAGTGAGGACGTCTTGATATTTAAGTTGGAAAGTCCTGTTTTGAAGGTAGGATTTTAAAATGCTATAAATTGAATGGGGTAAAAACTTTTTTACTTTATATAACAAGCCAACATGCCACACCTTATCGAATGCCTGGCTAACATCCAAGAAGGCAGCTGAACAAAACTTTTTATCTTCCATACATTGACGTATCACGTCAACAACTCGGTGAACCTGTTCACTAGATAAAACTAGATAAAACTTGAACTTACTAATGCTGTGTGGGTTCCAAATGATCAACAACCATTAAAACTGATCGAAACTGAATTATTCCCATCTGATCGACACTGAAATAATCCCATTATACCGACAAAAGTGTTGTATTGACTGACTGGACTGGGTGACTCTGGACTAAATCGGAATGGATGTGGATTAGTGGATTGATTGAACTGGACTACTGCTACCACTGAGCTATAATGATAACGGAATGGGCACACGGGAGGGACTAAGGCTATAGGTGTAGTGACGTCATATCTCTAGTGGCTAATGTCTTCTCTTGAGGCGGCACGATTACCGTAACGAAACGATGTGATTTCTGCGGCGTTCGTGGCATAGTTGGTAGCGTTTCGGATTGTTGTTCAGGAGGTCCCGGGTTCGAATCCCGCTGGCAGCACTATCTTTTTGTCAACAAATTTTTCATATCAGCAAGTTTGGTTGGTTAGGTTAGGTTATGACAGTTTAATTTTATAATACTAAATTTTAAAATTAATTTTATAATTAATTGAAAATTATAAGTAATCATTAATTAGATTTTTATCTTATATAGTTTTTATATTATCAGCAAGTCTGGTTGGTTAGGTTATGTTATGACAGTTTAATTTTAAAAATTAAAAATTTATTTTATAATTTTAAAACAATATTTTATAATTAATAAGTTAATTTTATAACTAAAAATTAAAAAAAAAATTAAATTCTTTCAACTTAGCAGTTCTAGCGGCGAACGCTGACACTACAAGATATGTTAGCCTTAGTCCCTCCCGTGTGCCCCACCGTAATAATAACCACTCATTCGATTTTGAGGTTAGTTAGTTACTTACTCTCACAATGCAGACCTAACCTACAAAGCTACCACCAAGTTACTGTTAGTTTAGTAAAAGTTACTACTAAACTTATTTAGTTAGTAAGTTAGTATGAAGAAGTAGAGCAAGCTGGGCCGCAGACGGATAGTCTTGTATAGTTATTTTTTTAATTAATGTTTTGTGTCAATGTCAATGGACAATTATGTTAATCCAAATTACACTAGACAGTAGGCTAATCCTGAAGTCAATAAATATTTCATAGTCTATAGGAAGGTGGGGTATATTAGATATGACTAATTCTGGAGAGGTTGTCAATTCTAAGATTATGGATGCTGATTCCAGTAGCGAAGAATATTTAATTTTTTCAAACAGCAATGTTAAAAATGTAAATATTGCTAACACCAGTGTTAGCAGGTTAAGAAGGAAAAAGATTAAGAAGGGTATCATTTTTCTATCAACCATTCCGCCATTCATGAACGTTACAAAAATTACTGAAATAATGAGTCAATATGGAGAAGTTGGAAGAGTGTTCCTTCAGCCTGCTAAAACAAAAGGTAATAGGCTAACTTACACACCTTAACCAAAATGGGTACAGTTTCTTAACTGGGCTACGCTAATATCGATTGAAACTATCGAATTGAAAATTTTGATTAATAATTGATATATTAAAATATATCTAGGCCTATTACCAAATTAAACTATCATAACCTAACCTAACCAACCAAACTTGCTGATGGTGAAAAAACCGCATGAAGGTGTACTAATAGAGTTAGTTTAAATGATTTGTTGATGACCTTTTTATTGTTAGGCCTATCTTGTAAAAATACTGTCATGGCAACCGATCAACCCATGTTAAATTTAGATAAGTTTACATTCACGTCTAGGGAAAAGCCCTGTTGTCCGATTTGTACCATTTTAAATCTATAACTTCCACAGTTACTACGACTGTGCTAAATTTTGTGTGAATGGCTTCAGCCGTTGAGGAGTATTTGTAAAACAAAAGCAGGAGTGTAGTTTAAGAGCTTCGCTCGCTCCGTCCAGTAATGCTTATTATTATAAGTACTGGTAGCCTATATTTTGTTTAGTTAGACAACGCAAATAAATAAAATTAACCCCACCTCAACAAATCTGCTGACTAAGCGAACGGAATTACAATTTACCCGGCTGGATTTCTACTAAAATATTCCCTAAAAACTGTCAGATTTATTTCTTATTTAAATAACATTAATTTTAGTTTGAGTACTTAGGTTTGCTGCTACAGGGAAGATACTGAGACGTGTATCTACAGGAATGTTGATAGCTTAGTATGAAATAAACAAGATTACCAAATTTAATTAAAATATATTGATAAAAAAGAAAACTACAACAGTTTATTTATTCTCCATAAGAATAACATGGGAATTTAAAATTTATTTAACTATCACCGTAACCGTTGGGCATACAACAACACTTCAATTTACAAAATTATTCACTTTTTTAAGCTCTACAAAATGGTTTGACGAGAAATAATGAAATTTCGTGTTTTTAGGGTCAAAAATGAGAAAAATCTACTTTTACCCCATAAAACCCCCATAAACCCCCCTTCCCATAAACCGATTATGGTGGTTCGCGTTGTTCGAATAAACGTAGGTTTACACATTTGTACCAAATTTCATCAAAATCAGATCATTTTTGCTCGAGTTATCGCGCTAACTGATACATGTACAGTAGAGTCCCGCAAACTTGGTGAAATGTAGACTGGAAGAGTGCCGAGTTTGTGAAATGCCAGGTTATCGGGAACTAGGGTTAAAAATAAGAACAATCAAATTTTTAAGATTTTTAACCGCCTTTTAGCGAAATTACCTATGAATAAGCTATTACCATAGTACTCATGGTAAGACCTGGACCCGGGACCGATTTAATTTTTGATTTTGAGGTCCCTAGAGGCCAAAAACACTATCCGTTCAAATTCATATATATATTATATATACATATATTATTTATTATTCATATAAATGTTTTTTATATATTATTTATTATATATTTATTTATTTATATTACCGTATATTTATTTATTTATATTATATTTATTTTATTTATTATATATACTAGCTGTTACCCACGGGCTTCGCCCCGTTTGACATCATAAGTATTATTGATTGGTTAAGTTAACCTGAAATAAACAAAATACAGTAAAAGAAACAAATAATCACACCTGATTTTAATAAGGTAATAAATTGAAAGAATAACAAACAAATAAGTACAGCTGAGGTATTTTTAACATTAGGTATATGAAAAGTTCCCTTTAGAAAGGAATTACGACCTTAAAGGGCAATTTATGACATAGGCCTAATGGATAATTTTGCGCAAGGTTTCTCGTCATGACGAACATTTTAAGTATATGGTTTATGGGGGTGTGACTTGTAGTTTTCTCAAAAGTTCATGGGTACTTTTGGCTTTATATATAGATATATATATATATGTCCGTTAGTGCGATAACTCGAGCAAAAATGATCCGATTTTGACAAAATTTGGTACAAACGTGTAAACCGATGTTTATTCGAACGAGTTCGCGATCCAGTATAATCGGACCATGGAAACGGGGTTTTATGGGGCAAAAATGTGGTTTTCCCATTTTTGACCCTAAAAACAAAAGAATTTGCAATTTCTTTTTAAACTGTTTTGTAGAGCTTAAAAAAGAAATAATTTAGTATATTAAAGCGCTGTTGTATGCCTAACGGTCACGGAGAAAATTCAAAAATAGTGTACTTAGGCATTTAAAATATCCATGTTATTCTTATGGAGAAAATGAAAATTGCTGTAGTTTACTTGTTTATGGATATACAGGGTGTTTCCGAATTGTCTGGACATATTTTGTGGACTTGTTCCCTGGGCTAAGACAAACATAAAACACCATAGAAGTATGGGTCTAAAACGCCTAGATTTCTCTCTGTCGGTCCGTTTGTGATTTGTATAAATTATTTAATATCTTTGGCATTTTTCAAGATAGAGATTTAAAATTTGGTATGAATGTGTAGTTCTAAAGGTACAAAGAACTGTGAAAATTTTTTTCCAATATCTCAAGCCGTTTCATGGCGGATATTTAAAATCTTTAATACCAAATTTCATGAAAACCGTAAATATTAAGACAATTTTTCACCTCACCAAAAGGATAGAGAATTTTAATACAAATCAAATGAAACCTTGTTCGTTAAAATCAGATGGAAAATGACTGAGTTATACGTTTTTTTACACCTTCGGATATGCAATTTAATAGAACTACCATGTAATAGAACTACCATGTACTCAAGTATGATAGGAGATCTAGGTAGCAGATTTAAGGGGATGGGGAGGGCAACACGAAGATTTATACAATACTTAATTAATTTGTTCACCTAATTGTTCATAAAATATATTTTTTTAAATCTATTTAGTGTTTTTAACTTACTTACGAAATGTAGCTCAGTCGTGGTGACTGTGGGAAGGTATCGATCTGAAATGGTACAAATCGGACAACAGGGATTTTCCCTACATGAATTTAAACTATTCTAAATTTAACATGGGCCATATGGGTTGATCGGTCGCCATGACAGTGTTTACAAGATCTATATAATTAATACGCTACGTGAAACGTTGTCGGTTGAACTTCTTAACCGATTTTATCCTTTGACGTCTCATTGGAAAGAGCGTGTCGCTTAGATTTGCAAACTGACCTTACATTTTTTAAAAAGTCCCTTGGGCTCTGCCCCAGTGGCTGATAAAGTTCCCATGTTATCCTTATGAAGAACATAATTGTTTACATTTTAATCAGCTGTATAATTCAATTGCTGTTATTTACTTTTCAATTCAATGAAACGCATTGGGTACATTTACTGATTTTGTTGAAATTAAATATGTACAATTTTTATTTACATTCATAATACATATTACAATGTAAAAAATCGAGAGAAAGCCTGGACAGTTTGATACATTTTACCGAATAAGAAAAATGAATTGACATAGTAGGCCTACTGTATTTCTTGGGAAATCATTGAAAGAACCGATTTGTTAACCATGGAAACATAGCAAAGTTATAGAACGCCACCAAGTAGAGGAAATAGAGATTAAAAAAAATTACTATTGTTATCAACCTATATTGTATTGATTGTAAATATTTAACAGCAAATAAATCTTTGAGTAGCTCTTCAGGCGTCCGTTAGTCAGTTTCAGATTTCTTTTCACCGATATTTTTGGATTGTTCGGACGCCTGACGGACGTTTTTCAGGTTAGAAAATGGTACTATTTTTAATTAAATGATCGATTTTATATTTTAAGTAATGCTTGTAACAATTAACAAGACGAACGATCAAAATTTGATAGAATATTGTGTTGTGTTGTAATTAAACCTTTTTGGACTTTAACAAACCCTGTAAATAAAGTGACGATAGAATGACTGCAACCAAATGACTGACAGTTTTGACTGAGAAATTGTTCATTATATAATGAAGACACCTACAGCTACAATATGAAGATTCCCACAAACAATGAACAAGGATGTTAGACGAATACTATTTTGTAGGAAAGCTTTTGAAAAGTGATCAAATATTTACAAGAATTGTTGATTATATGGAACTGTTAGGTACCGTACGTAATATATGAGTTCAGTCTTAAACTCATCCTGAAATTATGATGGCTTTTATTTGTTTTAGGATTTTGTTTTTTAGGATGTTAGACGAATACTATTTTGTAGGAAAGCTTTTGAAAAGTGATCAAATATTTACAAGAATTGTTGATTATATGGAACTGTTAGGTACCGTACGTAATATATGAGTTCAGTCTTAAACTCATCCTGAAATTATGATGGCTTTTATTTGTTTTTAAATAACTACTTTACTTCTTTGCAATTGCTTTATTTCAAGCAACGTGTACACTAGTGACAATAAAAAGGTAAGCAAAATAGGCTTAACGTCTATCAACAAATCATTTAAACTAGCACATTACAAATGAACAAAAGGGGGAAACAATCGGATTAATAATTTACCACAATCGTTGAGCATAATTTACGACAAAACTAATAACCTAATTAGGCCTAATGACACAATATTAGGCCCAAACTTTATTGGGCACCATTGACTTTAGAAACTGTGTAGACAAGTGAACCAGACATACTTGACGTAAGTGACTTTGGATACTTTAAATAAGCATTCCATTTAAGTGAACAAGATTGGATACTGATTGGTGACTTTACTTTGGGTACTGCCATAGACTAAGCAACACAAGTAGACTCCTCATCCCATTGTAAATTTTGAAGCTTGTTTTTCATGTCTAGTTCATGTACGTCCACACTGATCGCTGGGGTAGACCACATTTTGTTTCTATTATTTTAGGGTTATTTTCATGATTTGTGCTTTACTATTTGGTTATATAACTAGGGGACCAGTTATTCTTTATGATTAAATCGTTTTATTTGATTAAATGAGGTTTTAAATGACTGAAATAACAAGAAACAAATTGTAAACAAAACATAACCTCTACAGTTGGACGTACAGAACAAACAATAAAATTGGCTTCAGCTGTTCCATAAGGATGACAAATCTACTAAGGGAGTATGATTTATCTATGGTACTGCAAGTAGACATCTCATTTATGTAAACCAGATGTACCATTGCCATTTGGATACCAACTGCAAGCAGACATTTAAATTATGAGAACCAGATTAACCATTGACTTTGGATAAATTACTGCAAATATAAAGTAGATACATCATTTACGTGAACCAAATGTAGGCCTACTATTGACTTTGGATACTGCAAGTAGACTTTCCATTTATGTGAGCCAAACGTACCATTGACTTTGGTTGGATACTACAAAGAAACATTTCATTTACGTAAAACAGAATGACTTTGGTATTTGATTAATATGCTTCCTCCGCTCAATATTGCAGGCAGACAACTGCTTTGTACACCTAGTTAATTTGGTTATGTAATCACTGATATTCAGTTTAGTGTATTATTTTATCATTTTATGATATTTATCTCAACGCTGCGGAGCAGCACGGGTCCTCTAGTAGGTACATTAGAAAAGCGAAATAAAAACAAAGAAACAGATAGGAGACTGAATACGTTTTGAAATAGAATTCTGTTATCTTGATGTTTGTTATAACTATAATCATTGTTTTATCTATGTTATAACTTAGATGAAGTTTTCTGACCGATGGTAAAACACGGTTGTTGCCAAAATGCATTCTAGTTTAAATTTTAATTTACCTCCCTGTTTTCAAATCAGATGCCTTCCAAAATGTTATCCAAGTTTGTTTTTATACAACCAGAAATTTGTTGAATCTGAAGAAGGTGTGTGTGCTATTGTATGTTTAAACAGTTGGTAGATCTACAAATAAAATTGTATTTACTAGGTCTGATCTCTTTTTGTCTGTTTAGGGAAGAAGCCTTCTAAGCATTTCACAGAAGGTTGGGTGGAGTTTCTGAGTAAACGAGTGGCCAAAGAAGTAGCAGAGAATTTGAATAACACCACCATTGGAGGACGGAAGAAAAGTAGATTTTACGATTATATATGGAACTTGAAATATCTCCCCAGGTACTGTGTGGTTTTTAACTTATTTTTATTGGATTAACTATTCTTAAATAGCCTAATAGTCTTTTCCCCGCCAATTCACCACTTTTAGCGAATTTCCCATTTAGGAAATTAGATTTTACCATAAGTCTCATGGTAAGACCTGGACCCGGGACCGAATTACTTTTTTGTTTTGAGGTTCCCACCAACTGATCAAATTCATATTTGTCCGTTAGACAATAACTCGAGCAAAAATGATCTGATTTTGATGAAATTTGGTGTAAACCTACATTTTAATTATCAAATGTTACTTACCCTATCTACCTCTTTGCCGTTTGGTCAAAGTCCATTTCACAAAACTTAAAAAAAAAGCAAATATGATCTAGGCCTATGAAAAATAATACACTTTTCAAACAAAGACTATTAACATTTAGGAAACTACAAAAGAAACACATTTGAAAAAGAAATACTAGGCCTAATTAAAAACTGACTTATATTACATACCTACAATACTTTACAGATTTAACCTCTAAGGTTTATTTTCTTGTTGTTTTTTTTTCATGTAACAGGAATTATTTATTTATTATTTATAGCCTATAATGGATTATTTAGGTTCTTAATTTATGTTTAATTTATTTATTTAAAATTATGATCTCTGCCCTTTTTTCTAATTTAAATTTTTCTTATCTCTTCTAAATTTTTAGTCCTGGGAATTATAATTGAATTTCCACATACTGATGAGAATTTGGAGGGTGGATGATCCCGCGTAATGACGTCCTTTGGATGTCCAGGTCTCCGCTGTCGGACAACCTTGTGGTTGATCCTGGACCTCAATGACGACCCCCGTGGAACTCTTCTTGGCATGGTGGTGAGCTGGCGAAGTCGTTTGGCCTAGGACGTATCGTTAGGTGGCAGATTTTACCAATCCTAAGATAATAAGGGGAACTGCTCGATCCAGCCCCGTCCTAAGCCTCTTAAATCTTCTTCCACACTGATGCACTGCGAATGGTATGAAATACATACCGTACATAATTCTGGAGTTACTATGTTCTATTCCAATGATTCAGGAAAAGCATTTGTTGGAAATCACCTGCTAGAAGTACAGTTTTAGCCATGATGTTATTGGAACTATCACACCTCTTAACGAGACATTCCTTGCTTTAAACATACTTTATAGCTAAAACACCAAGACTCTTTTTAAACAAGGTTTTACCTTTGTGTTAAAGACAAGTTTTAAAATTACCTTTTGGTATTACTATGCTTATGAAGTATCAACTACAATTGACCGTTTTAGCAGATAAAAGATAGACTAGAAAAGATTTTGATAAATTAAATTGACCAAAGACCACTCTTAGATATACTCATGATTTTACCCGAGCAAAGATCGGTCCCCAGGTACTAAGCTAAGCATTAAGCATAGTATAGCATTGAAGTTAATGCACAGACTTCTGTCCTCACTGTCCAGCACAGACGCAAACTTTGCAATATAGATGCACTGTCATTTTTAATGTTAGTAATTGTTGAGTTCCCAACACCAAACTCATGAGCTAAGCTTAAACCACTTCCACCGTTTTTCAGACGATCTAGTATTTTAAGTATGTCAGTTATACTACATATTAGTTTTGTTGACTTTGCTATAGCGTACTGTCAACAATCACTGACCCAAAGCGAGATTATGTGTACTTGATACTTTAGCGCTGTCACCGTGTCGCTGAGTTTTGTGCAAAGCGTTGCACCGCGTGCGCTCCTGCTGGTCGCTCTCGTGATGTTGGCGTGGCAGTAATTTGAATTTAATGTCCTTGAGGGCGATTTTGGTTTTAACCGACATTACGGATTTATGACAATATTCTGTGCTATTGTAAGTGTCAGACGACTTAGAAGTACAAATAGATAGGCCTATTAAAGCTTACATAAATAATGTCTAATAAACAGAGAGCCAGAAAAATGGGTAGGTGGAAAGAACCGGATATTATTAAATTAATTTTATATACCGGCAAGGCCTATTGCCGCTTATAGCTGTGACGCATAGCGGCACGCTATATTTTTTATAGTGTGTGCAGTTCGCGAAGCCGGGTTGCATGTTTATCTCGTTGCCTGCCGCGACTGCATCAACGCTCTCTCCCACCTCCCTATACTCTTGTCCTCCTTCTTCGTCAACCGTCATCCGGACAGTAAACCTCTCCGAAAATCTCCAGGCCTTCTCTCGATGTTATGGATAAGTGACCATAGTTTAATAAGTAGGAATTAAGTATAAACAATGCTTGGCTAAGTCAGGTAACAAGTGCGGAGCCCTTCTGGCTCACCCGACAATTGAAATGTAGGAAATTACAACTTAGTCCGTTAACGTTCTTAAACATGAAATATTAAACCACATGTTCACAGAATGTAGCTTAGCAATTATCAATCAAATTCATACATGTTAACCATTCTGAATTCAATTTACCTACATATTATTTCACTCACTCCATCAGTATTAGTAAGTGATTATCCAAGTTCAGTTCATAGTTGGAAGGATAGGTTAATATTTAAATAGTTAGTTCAATTAGTGCAAATCAAGGCTGGCTAGGCAAGTGTTCTGATCTGGGTAAAAGGTCTCCGTCCCTCTGGTCCCCAGCAATCTTCCTATTTTATTGGTAGCAGATTCAGCACGCTTACATTAAGTTTGGTCCAGACACTCCTATTCCTTACCTGTTAGAATTACCCTATTTGTTCCCTCCTGATTACCCGAATTCCCACCGTTCTCCCTCCTCCATACCATACCATTACCATAACCATTAACCCCCTATCATCACCCCAACAAACGGCCCCCGGCTACATAGATCATCCTAGATTGTGAAAAAGCTAGAAGCTTTCTTTGCTTGCTGACCCCTTTGTCTTTCATGTCGCTTATAAATTAGTCATTTAACCTGTATTAAATTTGTACAAAATCAAAAATGCATTGTCTCTGTAAGTGTTATCTCTTTAGGCTTTGCAATACAAGCTGGCTAAGAGTTTCCTTAGGAGGGAACAAGCTTTTTGGATGAGGTGGGTAAAGTTGATGTCTTTAACAGTGCTTTTAATTTGCTCTCTCCTTTCCTTGTCCAGGTTTAAATTTAGGAGATATGTTTAGTAAAAACTATAACTTACTGTCATTAAAAAGGTCTTGGCTGCATCCTGTTATACACCCTTCGCAATCCTCTAGGGTATTAAAAATCAGTCATAACTCTTCAATTCAGTGGAATAAATCTGATGCTATTTTTCAGAGTTGATGTGAATGCCTCCCAGTACACCTCTTTAAAATGTTAATGCATCCATGGAAATTATTGTAACAGAGGAATTCGTTAGGAAACATGTTTATGTATTTTAGTCCGAAGACTAAGTGATCTGAGTAATTTTTTCCTCTAACAGTTTTTTTTTTTTTTTTTTTTTTAAGTTCTACACATACTAATTACTAATAAGTTATTGATGTGTTTAGGTTTAAGTGGGTTCATCTAAATGAACGTTTGGAATATGAAAGAGCAGTTATGAAACAAAAACTTAGAACTGAAATCGAACTGGCCAAGCGAGAGTCCAGTCACTTTGCTCAACAGGTGGAACTGAGTGAAAAATTGAAGAAAACAAAAAATAGAAAAACTGGTAATGTGAATGCAGAGGAAAATCATAAGAATACTAATACAATCAAGCAGAGGAAAACTGACGAAGAAATTAGAAATAAGAAGCAGCAAGCAAGTAAAGAAGATAGGTCTGCATTTTTGAAAAATTTGTTTGTTAAATGATGTATACTTGTGTTTATAAATTTGTATAAAATGTTACCCATGGATATAATGTTATGTTGCCTTACTTGTTGCCTTGATTGGGTATTTATTTTTAAATAATTTTTTTAAAACAATTTTTGGACATGGTGATGCCATGCTGCTGTTAAATTGTGAATAAATATATCAAAATTGAATTGCAGATAAATTGACTGAGTAGCTGAACGGTTTAAAGTGCTGATAATAAATTATAAATAATAGTTGCCAGTTAAATCCTATGAAAAGTTTGAAATCATTTTGTGAACAGAACTACGGTACGTAAACCATCATTGAAAATTTATCTTTTTAAGTTAGTTTAAGACGGTAAAGAATTTACCCTAGTTTTTCAAAGTTCGTCCAAGCATTCAATTTTTCTCCAGCATACCATATAGATGTATTTTTTAAATGATAAAATAAAAACAATTGATTCGGAACTTAAATTGAACTCAAACCCAGAACATTTCATATGCTAACTGTGTGTTTATCAAAGTTATTCAACTAATGTAACATTGCAAGGTTACAAAGACTTTGAAAAAAGGTTTGCCTTTTTTTCCTAAAATTTCTGAAGCAATACAAATGAAATGTATTACGATTATTAAATTATTGGCAATTTAAGTACAAAGGGGATTCTTACTAAATGTGTAGCAAAGCAACTGTAAAAGATGTAATAGTTTGTCTAAAGTTTGTAATCAATTGAATTTAAAAAATAATTTAAAGCAGTAAAGTTGTTAAACAAGTTCTGGGTACACAATGTATCAACTAATCTCATTTTATTAAAATGTTGTGCTAATAGTTCAAAATTGTGTACAATCAACAAAGCTGAAATAGCAAAATTTCCGTAGATTTGTCTCAGATTGTAGTCTACCAGCTGAAAGAACCAACAGTTGTGGTCATTTGTAGAATTGCAATAAAATACATAGCTATTGCCCCAGCCATCTGGAAAAAATAGTAATTAAGCAATTTATAGTTATGGAAACTATATTATTAAATATCATATCAAAATAATACTCAAATATAAAGAATGCTTGTTGACGAATCTAATTAAGTTATGATTAATAAACCATTATGTAAAAATTATAAATACTATCATTTGGTTTAAAATAAAAATGCTTGGTTGAATAGTCAAAACCAAACTGTAGGCTTATTTCAATGCAATTTTGCCATATGAACAAATAATTGTTGACTGCAAACTATCTTTTCTATCTTTGAGACAGTTTTCTTCAAATTAATTGTTGTGTTTTCCTTCTACGATTAAAAACGTGTTTGTGTGGCAAAAATCAGACTAATTATAAACTGAAACAAATGTTTACTGGATTCAAGTAGTCGAGGATTGAATTTGACAGCTGACTAATGTCAATTAATACAAACCCTATGAGAAGCGCAATGCCTTTGTTAAAAATTCAGTCTGGGAATATTTGAATTTCGGATAGTTCCTGCGGCGGCCACTAGGTAGCGAAGGCGATACTATCGCGAGTGTGCAGCCAAGTCAGATGACTGAGTGAGAGAGAGAGAGAGAATAGTATGGCGACCGCGCGAAACTCATTTCGGCGGCAAAATTCCAGGCTGACTATTCTACATGAACATTTAGCTTCTTAAAGGGTTTGTATTCATTCCTAATGTCCTAAGTAAAGTCATTGCAAGTAACATTACTTCATTGACTCATCAAATACTGTAGTACCGGTACATTTTAGGCTTTTGTGATGACGTCACACCGATTCTGCAATAGGTTAGAGCTGTTTTTTTTTACATTGTGGAATTGAAAAGTACAAAGTATTTAGGTTAATTCAAAGAGAGATTACTTGATTTTGCAGAAAACGATGTTGTCTCTGCAATTGCATGACTCTACCAAGGAGGATATTTATGATTTCTCCGTGACCACCGGAGATTTTTTGCCGTGCCCTGTTACCATGGCAAATTTTTACTATTGCTCCTCCGACATCATTGGAAACATATAACTTATTTGAATGATATTCAAAATTGCTCAAACCTATTCAGCCATTGTTGAGTTGAAACTCGGAAAAACACGAGTTGCCTATTATTGCAGTATGTTGGGTTTTTGACATTCATGGCTTTCCTGATGATAATACAATCGCTTAAATGGACAGTGATGCTCTTTGTGTATATATTTTAAGCTGACTATAAAAGCAGCAAAAGTGTAAAATATCTCGTAAATACCATCACTGAATTTATTATTTATAAAATTATGGATATAACAATGGTCAATTAACTGGTCTATTAACATAGTGCAAAACCGCTAAATTACCTCTGTATAATTTTCTTTTCTTACATAATTTTACCTCGATAGATAGACAAGGTGGATTTAACAGTATATTGTGGCAAATGCAATCTTTTCTTTGCCAGTTTGGTAGTTTTCTCAACAAACTTGTTTAGACGTTTCTTTAACTTAATTAACATCAACTTACACTCAGTAAAAGAGAACGGTCCACATCCACCATTCCACACGCAGAGATGTTGACTCTAAACATCTCACATTGGTGAAGAGTATGATCCAGCTAGACATGAAATCATCAAGATTCATATGAAGTTAAAAACCCAACTACAGTAGAACCCAGGTAAAACGAATTCGGGTTAACCAAAACGGTTCCATAAAATAATACACGGCTAAAATATAAGTACTGTAAAATGCTTTAGTAACTTCAATTGTTAAGTTAAAGTATTTTCTAACCCATTGTAACATTTCTGTAGCTGATATAAAACACGGTATTATATAGACACTGTTTTAAATTCATTTTCCCACACACCGTGGTAATACATAGACTATTTTTACCATATGATGGGTTAACCAAAAAATTAGTTATCCGAAACGGCTCTCCCCCCTTTATTTCGGTTGAACGGGGTTCTACTGTAATTGAGTTTTTTAAATATTATGCTCTGTTATAAAATTTCACCTGGATTTAGTCGAATAATGTATCATACAAAAAGTAATTGTGCAACAAAAAAACCCTCTGAGACTTCTGAATAGTGCTGTGTTGTCTGAGCGATATAAGAAAGTAGTGGTGGAGTGATCAGAAGCTATCCAGCGTTACCCTACCTTTCTAGGGTATGAAGACGGACTGTAACGTCTCAGAAAAGCTGGTATCTTACATCCCTTAGACAACATTGTGTATTTATAAGGATTTCTTCCTTGGAAAACTGCAAGAACTATATTCTATGCTGCAAATATGCTGTAAAATCCATAATTTGGCACATCCCCAGTACATGGCTATATTATGCATTAAGTTCCTATAATTTGCAAATCCTACATAATCAGCTTTCAAAATTAAGATTAAAATATTTTTGTTACCAAGAAATATTAAATCTCCGCTTGTACAAATTGTTGGAAGACAATTTATTTTTATTAAATTCCTATATTAGGGCCAACACATAAAATGCTAATCAAGAAGTCATTTAAAATATTTTGAAACAGTGTTCAGTTTATCTAGGCCTACAGGTAGGATCAAATCAGTAAAAATACATTGTACAAAAATGTTAGTCTTCATCGCGTTTGACTATACTGACATGCAAACATGAGCATTTAATCCTAATAATTCATACATTTTATATAGTTAATACAAATGTTTGTTGTATGACTTGTAGCATTGACTATACACAGAGTTCTGTGTATAATCAATGCTTGAAGCCATTAATTTTAAATAGAAATGCTCTTAAGAGATGTTAGCTGAAAATGGTGAATTATGGAAAACCAAAACGATAATAACATACTTTTAATATTTTATTGCCGTTAGTTTTTATTTTCTTATTGTTAATGAGCACGTTCTGGGAACACTGACTCGTGCACCGGTGTAGGACCGTTCTGGGAGACCGGTAAGTTAACCTAGCAGACAGATATTTCCTCCACCGGTGCAAGATTTATGCACCGGAGAAATTGTACGGAGCATAATACACCGGTTTTTTGGACAATAGTATGCAAGATGGCAGGTCCATCAAATAATGTTCATTAGTTTTTAACGGATTATAATAAGTGAATAATTTTCAAATATTTTATCCCGTGAGGGTAGGTGGATTTGTAAATTATAATTTGATGTGTACCGTAAACCAGTGACTAACTGTTCTGGGATACAAAGACTCTTGCCCCAGGACGGTAACGGTGAGTAATTCACTGGTTCATCTGCACCGGTGCACCGATACATGTTCCCAGAAGGCGCCTGATAGGATTATAATAACTAAAAATCTACTACAGACCTGAAATTGTGTGTTCCAACTAAGCTCTTGTGTCGGTATCAAGTTCAGATAGTTTTCCATTTGTTGGCTCTGTAAAATATTTAAGATAAGATCCTACTGTAGAAGTCAAATTAAACTTATGAATTGAAACATAAAAATAAATTGTATCAGCAATATGACACATACTTTCTCCCTTTAGCTTATCAACTACCTGTATCATAGGTAAGTGATGAGAGTGACTAGATTAGGTAAAATCACAAAAGTTTCATTCAAAACATGAACTGTAATTTTTACAGGAATGGGAGGTTGCACAATTTTGTTAAGAATTTTAAGAGACGAAAAAACACAACAGAGGAATATCAATCAGAACCAGATTTTTTTTAATCCCATTTTTCTGTCTTTTCATGGGTTTTTATGGGAAAATAACATAAGTTACAATAACTTTTGAATCCTAATTTTTACAGCAACGGGGGGTTGCTGTATGTTGTTAGGAAATTGAAAGGACCATCACATACTGATTTCAATCAAAACCGGGTTTTTTTCAAAAATCTGATTTACTCTTAAATTATGGTTTTTTATGGGGAAATAATATAAGTTACAATAACTTTTGAACCGTAATTTTTACAGGAATGGGAGTTCTACCATTTTGTTCACAATTTTAAGGGCTACAACATACTAAAGTTTTATCAAAATCGTTTGGTCCGTTTTTGAGAAAATTATGTTTTTCTGTTATTTATGAGAGAATCACCTGTTATTTATGGGAAAATCACAAAATCTCAAAACCGAAACTTAACCCTTTGAGTTCCAACGTCCGGGGAACCGGACGTTTTTAAAACGAGCCAAAAGTGCCGA